ATAAACTAATATTATCTTCCAAATATAATAAGATATAAATTATTTTTTTTTGAGATATATATAATAATATTTTTCCAACATGAAATAGAGTGGGCGAATTTTATACTGAAAACGAAGATGAGTGCATAGAAATGAAATTAAAAGAGCTAAAGAGTGTGCATCTCTAAAGATAGGTTTTATTGTTGAAGGAATTGACATAAGGCCCAGATTGGTTGATTATCACCTTATTTTTTAGAAAATATTTCTTCCATTTGATAAAACTGTCAGTTATTAGTGCATTATTAGATGACATGTTTGCTCTATGAGATGCAGAAGACATTGTTTTTCAAGAAACGTCCTTATTCAATATCCTTTGTCTCCCCTAACATAATCTAATTTGTTTGCAAATTTTAATATTTGAGATATCAGTCATTAACTATATTTGATTTTAAGGTCTCAGTCTTAATTATTCACGTTATAATTATTAAGTGTTTGTGTTTCTTATTTAACTACCACTTAATGTGTGTAAATAATGTTATTCAATCTGTATTATAAGGTTAGCCTAAAACGACAGAAACAGAATAAGATGAAACAGAAAATACATAAAATACAAGAAGTAATCCGAGTTCATAAAAACTACTGTGTGTCCTTAAGAAATTTAATCCCCTCACTGTACCCAAGGTTATGATTTAATTTCTTCCAAGATAAAACGGATTAAACCTGTTAAAGAAATAGCGGTACCTCAAATTTATTTAACTTCAGCGAACTTCAGAACATCAACAAGTCATACATACTCAGTCGATCGACAATTTGATTTATTTGAGAGAAACATATGTGCAGAGAAGGAAATTTTCAGTGTTTAAAAAATTGAAAATTGACTTCCTTTTATAGCCATTTTCAGCAAGAAACATGTCTGTTCAGAGAAATCTGTTCAGACCAGTTTTATCCAGAAAGTTATGTCTTTTGGAAAAAATAACTTTTCGGAAAAATGTGTCTGTTAAGAAAATAACAACTTTTCGAAAAGAGTAACAACTTTTCGGAATGTTACCGTTACGCGTAAATTTATAAGAGATAATATTAACAGGATTTAGCCGAAGTTGAAGTCGAGGGGGCATCTTGTTCTTAGCTCTTTAAGAAGTAATAGAAGTGTTTCGTTATATAAGGACAACAATTTCTCTTTCTTTTGCCGATATGAGAGAAATGACTTTTCATTTGCACTTTGCAAATGACTTTTCATTTTCCCTCCAAAATAGTTTCCTCACTTTTCATATTCTCTCTTTTCTTTTCTCATTCACACTTGCTAAACCCAACAAATAAGTCTGAACGACTAAGGTATATAGCAAAATCTAAATAGCATTAAAATGTCTATTTAAGACTTTCTACGATGATAACATTTCACTGCTACTCTATCTACTCTCACCACCCCCATAATTCATTTCAACTACAACTATCATTGTTGTCAATCTCCACCACCTACCATCCTCTATCCAACCATAACCACTATTTCTTTTAATCACCAAAATCAATTGTCATCACCATTAGACATTATTTGCAATCATCACCACCAATCATTATTACATTCACTAATCACTATTGATAATTAACATCATTAATCAACACTATATATCACTAACCACCACCGTTGTTCACCACCTCTATTAGCTAATACTATCATTCCAATTAATTATCTGTCACCACTACGATTAATCATTAGTGTCTACCACTATATACCATAAGATACAAGCCACAACCATCATCATCACTCAACACAATCCCAAATTAGTCATCACCATCGCTAATTGTAATTAAAAAAGATTAATATATTTTATTAATATAAACTCAGATAAATTTAATATATTTTTTAACTTTATATTTATTAGTTTTAATAAAATTAAATTTTATACATTAAGAAGTTGAGGAAACAAACAATAGTATTCGAATCTTAATGCAATATTTGAATATTCAGATTCAAATCTCTAAATATTAATGTACATCTTAATATTCAAATTTGCATTCAGATTACGTCTTAGGGTGTGTTTGGTATGGAGGAAAATGTTTTAAATGGAAAATATTTTCCTGGAAAACAAGTAGATTTTGGACTTATTTCTCATGTTTGGTTGGTGAGTAGAAAATATTTTGTGGAAATGATTTTTAGTTTTTGATTTATGAATGAAAAATATTTTTGAGAGACATTTTTTATTTTTACTAGAGTAAAAAAGAAATTATGACATTGAAAATATTTTTCAAAATCAAAATTATTATTTTTTTGGGTGGTGGTTGGGGGTGGGGTGGGGGCGGGGGGAGGGGGAGGGGGAGGGGATAGGAGTGAAAAAAATAAAAATTTGAAGTTGATAGTATTTTTAAAAAACAAAATTAATTTTTTGGAGGATTGGGGTGGGTGGGGGCTGGTAGGGTGGCTGGCCGGGAGGGGGGAGGGGTAGGAGTTTAAAAATAAAAATTTGAAGTTGAAAATATTTTTAAAAAGAAAAATTAATTTTTTGGAGAGGGGTTGGGGTTGGGGTTGGGGGGGATGGCGGGGGGTAGTGTCAAGGATCAGGTGAAAAAATAAAATTTTGAAATTGAAAATATTTATTTAAATTGATGTTTTTCCCAAAAAAAAAAAGTAATTTGAAATTGGAGGAGAGTTATGGAAAATGTGTTCCTTATTTTTTGAAGGGAAGTCATTTTCCTTAATTTTGAGAAAAATGAGTTAATTTGGAAAACATTTTCCGAAACTTTTGTCCCAACCAAACATGGGAAAATTGGAAAACATTTTCCAGAAAATATTTTCCTTCATACCAAACACACTCTTAATCTTAATAAAAACAAATGATGCTTTAATCTCCATTTGTAAATTAGATTTTTTAATATTAGGTTAATTTTTTCATCTGTATATCAAAGATATTGATCTAAATATAATCTTTAAGCACACACATCTACACTATCACATAAACTTAATGCATATCAAAATCTTAAACATGATAATTTTACTAGAATATATCAGAGAAAAAAAATACATGAAGCGTAACCATTATCATATATAGATGACTGGAAGCGTTATTGATTTCTTCCTCTGTGCCCGCGCTTTAGGCATACACGTTTATGTTATCACTTAAACTTAATGATATCAAGATCTTAAACATAGTAATCTTACAAAATATGTTGCTGAGAACAATCCTGAAGCATAAGCATTACCTTACATGTATGAGTGAAGCGGTAATTGAGAATCGATTTCTACTTCTGTGCCCTAACCTTATGATACTAGCGGAGCCGCTAGTGATCAAATTGTGCATATATATGTGATAACCCTAAAACTTAAATCTTGTACGTTCATCAAGCAAAGACGTATCCAGGAGGGTCACTAGGTTCACATGAACCCATGCTTCCCTTCTAAAATTATACATACAAGTGTTATATATTTTTTTAAATATTTATATGTAGATATGTGAACCCACACTCGAAGTACCATATCGTGCAATTATGATTGGATGCATCTCTCTAAGTAAGGTTAGAAATTTGATTCTTTTATTTATCTTGTTATTTTTCCTTTTAAAATTGGATAACGCCTCTCTAAGTTGTTTGGATAGGTAAAAATAACTTTGGACCCATAATTTTAAAATTTTAATTGTTTTTAGTAATAGAACCTAATTTTAAACCAATCAAATATATATCTTAGATCCACCTTTTTGTAATAGTGCACTCATTATCTCAAAATTCTAAATACGCCTCTGCCATCAAGTAACCAAACTAACGAATGAGATTTGTTCTTCATTAAATATTAGTTATGGACTTTTCATTCATTCAGTCACGCATAAAATAATAAAAAGTTTAACATTCTCCCACTTAACATTAATATTTAATGGCATTCATCAATTGCAAATAAAACAATAATGTCTATCATATATATGTACCATGATATGACAAAACAGTAACGTGACTTATGATGATTATTCATAATTTTATGCTACATATTTCCTTTCATATACTACAACATTATCAATTTATCATGTCAGGTTTATAATTTAAACATCTAAAATCATAGCTCGTAATAATGTCTCATTGAAGCTTATCTTATAATATTTCAAAACAACAATATGTGAATTGTTATGAGAAATATAAATTTATAATGCACATAAAAAATATATAATTGAGCTCAAGCATCATGACGCCATAATCACATCAATCATAAATACAATCCTGAGGTCATTACAGTTTACACCCATTGTTTCTATATTTTCACTTAGATGAAGAATAAACATTTAGTTCATAAGGTTGGTATACTCAGATTATTAGTCAAATATTGCAGAGTAACTATCATAAGTTTCAATGGCTTTGTAGTGGCGTCGACAATTCCAGGTTTTGAGATCACATTCGAATAGTGACTACAAACATAATATCACAAATTCTCTTACATTTACCATTCCGATTCAAATTCTCCATTGAATTTTACTACTTTACTGTATTGCTTTTGATATGTTATAGTAGTATTTTCTCAAATTGGGTTGAATCAGGGGTGGACTTAATAATATAATGGAAATAAATTTAAGATCAAAGAATTAAAATTTCCTGATACTTTAAACTTCATCAGTCAAATAAATAAGACACGTAAGTTCAAACATTTAACTTCAGTTAATTAGAATGCATACTTAGTTACACATAAAACAATAGTTGGTCACTAAGGTTCTCTATTTTCTTCCTACAAATCAGAAGTTGTGATTATTCTGAAAAGTTGCAATTTTTCTGCAAGATTATGACTTTTCGAAAAGATTGTAATGTTTTTTTTTTGAAGGATTGTGACTTTTACAAAAATTTATGATATTTCCATTGAGACACAATAAACACTTACTCACACTACTCTGTGGTGTTTATAAACATGAGGATTTTCTCTCATTTTCCAACGAGTTTTCCAAATTTCAGAGCTTTTTTTCCTAGACAAGCAAATTGTAGTATACTTACTGCTTTTAAAGTGGTAAGTATTTTTGCCCATTAAAAGCATTATTACAGTCAAGTGATACAATTCAATGGAGAATTTGAATAGGAATGGTAAATACAAGAGAAGTGTATCTCTTCTGTCGATGCTATCGGACGATTGTATTGAGGAGATCATGGCCTTAACAAGCCCTCTCGATGTTTGCCACATTTCTTTAGTTTCTAAATCACTTAGATCTGCTGCTAACTCCGACTCTGTTTGGGAAAGATTTCTGCCCTCTGATTATCAGTCTATTATTTCCGCATCATCGACTTCCGTCCCTGATTTTGCTTCAAAGAAGGATCTCTATGTTTATCTGTGTCACCATCCCCTCTTAATTGATGCAGGTCACAAGGCAATAATAATAAATGAACAAAGAGGGAAAATAGTAATCTATTCAAGTAAAAGAAAACGTGTAATTAATTGTGCATTTCCTATACTATTATTGAACAGAGTTTCTCACTAGAAAAATGGACTGGAAAGAAATGTTACTTTTTAGGTGCAAGGGATCTTGATATTCCATTGGTTGATAGACTATCATATTGGAAATGGACTTCAGAGTCCAGGTTTGCGCGACTTTTTTTTATTGAGATCTTCTGAATCATTATATGTATCGACTAATTTGTAGTTCAAATATTTTATTACCTCAGGCCCAATATATGTGAAATAATTTAGATAACTATATATGGTGAAATCAGGTTTCCTGAGGTGGCTGCGCTCAAACGTGTTTGGTCGCTTGATATTGGGGGCACAATAAGAGCTGGGGTTCTATCACCACGGACATCCTATGTAGCATACCTTGTTTACATATTTGGAGATGAATTTGGATTTAGTTATCGACCTTCAGAGGTTTCAGTTGGAGTTTCTAGTGTTGAATTGGACAAACGATTTGCAATTCTCGTGCCAGAAGATGAGGAGTCAATTTATAACCTGACCCCTGATCTAGAGGATAGGCTCAAGAAAGTGTATGAAGAGGCGGTACGTCCTAATCTGCCCTCTGCTGGAGAACATAATGATATTTGTTTGGCGTTGCAACATTTGCCATTGCAGCTTTTGCCGGAGAATGTTTCTAAGAGCCTGTTTGGCTCAGCTTAAAAGCTGATCAAACTGACTTAAAAGCTGGTTTTTGACTTATTTAGCTGTTTTGACAGTCCTCAAAATAACTTATTTTTAAGTTAATTTTTTTTAAGCCAAAAGTTAAAAGCTGGGGTAGGGGTGCTTTTTTTTTTCCAGCTTATAAGCTGTTTTAAGTTGACCACATTTTTACCTTTTTACCCTTAATATTTTTATACAATCTCCAAATTACCCACATAACCCTAACATCTATTTCTTTTATTTTTCCCTTTTCACGTGTGGATTATAGACTATTACTATTACTAATGAATGAAAATAACATAAATCTTAAATCTTTCAAGTGATCTATTCAAATTATACATTATTAAAATGTAAAATAAGTTGCACATATAACTTAAATAAAAATTTATATTCTTCTTATAAATAATTTGTGATAATAAAGAAATATGTGAATGATAGACTATTATTATTACTTATGGATGAAACTAAAATAAAATCTTAAATCGTTCTTTGATCTATTCAAATTGAAGGAATATTGATTGTATTTAAGTGTTAAGGGAATACATGAGATATATATATAGGAGATATAGGAAGGAGTACTAATCCTAATAGGACTAGGATTAAGGAGTACTAATCCTAATAGGACTAGGATTAGTACACAGTAAATACTAATATTATTTTATACTATTTATTTAATTCTATCTGTTATTATCCTCCCTCAAGCTGAGCTGAGCGGAAGCGAACGGAAGCTTGGAACTGAGGTAATCGTGCTGTCGGCTCGGGAGAGGCTTGGTGAGAATATCAGCCGGTTGTTCTTCAGTGGGTACATACTGCACAGTCATGGTGCCGGCCTGAACTTCATCGCGAACAAAGAGACAATCGGTATCAACATGCTTCATTCTGGTGTGTAGGACGGAATTCTTGGCCACACAGATGGTTGATTTGTTGTCACAACAGAGAGCAGGAACAGTGTGAGTGGCGCGAAGTTCGCGAAGAATATATGTGACCCACATGGTCTCAGCAGCAAGAAGAGCAAGGGCACGATATTCAGCTTTAGTCGAGGACCGAGAGACCTTGGGTTGTTTTTTTGTACACCAGGAGATCAGGTTAGGCCCCAAGAAAACGAGAAACCCCGATGTAGATTTTCTGTCATTTTTATCATTCGCCCAATCTGAATTTGAGAAACCCCGAAGCTCCAAGTCCCCGGGTCGAATGAGTAAACCACGACCAAGAGTGCCAAAAATGTACCTGAGAATACGTTTTAGACAATGGTAATCATGTTCACTTGGTTGATGCATGCGCTGAGCAATTCGGTTGACAGCAAACTGGATGCCGGGACGGGTAATGGCCAGATACTGTAGAGCCCCAATGAGGCTGCGGAAGTGGGTGATATCGGCAAAGGGGGTGTCGACTCCATTTGTAGACGAAGATACTGCCATCGGTGTTGGTTGACTGGTGCATTTTTCCAGTCCAGCTTTCTGCAACAGATCTCGAGCATATTTTGACTGATGAAGAAACAAGCCGCTACCTGTCCGAGAAACCTCCATTCCCAGAAAATAATGTAACGGGCCAAGGTCCTTCATTTTGAAGGTAGTAAGCATAGCTCGAGTGACATCCTCAATGAGAGCTGCAGTAGAACCTGTAATAATGATATCATCTACATAGACAAGAAGAATGACTGTACCGTGTGCTGAATGTCGAGTAAACAGACTCGTGTCGTGTACGCAACACGTGAAGCCGAGTCCCTGGAGGAACGTTTTTAGACGTGTGTACCAAGCACGGGGGGCTTGCTTGAGCCCATACAGAGACTTCTGGAGTTTGCAAACATGTTGAGGGAAGCGGGGATCAACATAGCCCGGTAGTTGCATCATGTAGATAGTTTCATCAAGCATGCCATGAAGAAAAGCATTGGAAACATCCAACTAATTGATGAGCCAATTGTTGCGCACGACGAGTGACAGTACCAGGCGAATGGTTTCCTGCCGAATAACAGGACTGAATGTCTCGGAGTAATCAAGCCCATACTCCTGATTGTAGCCTTAGCAACCAAACGAGCCTTGTATCTGGAAATACTGCCATCTGCATTGTGTTTAATTTTGTACACCCATTTACAGCCCACTGGGTGCCGCCCATGGGGCTTAGGTACAAGAACCCAAGTTTTCTGATCAGTCAAAGCCTTAAAATCGTCATCCATAGCATGACGCCAATAAGCATTTTTGGAGGCAACAGAGTAGGTTGTTGGTTCACTATCGAGAAGGGGTGTATTTGGTAGTATGGTAGCCTGAAATATTTTGGGTTTAAAGATACCGGCTTTTCCACGGGTTAACATGGGATGAGTATTGGGGGGTGGCACGAGCGGTGGTAATTCGGGGGTGGCCGGGAAGGACCCAAAACGGATCGGGCTGGAGATGTTGTGGGTATGGGGTGGTTCGGGTTGGTTGTGAGTGTGGGTGGTGGTTGCGGGTGTATTGTGGGTGACAGTCGAAGGGGTGATAAGGGGTGGTTGGGTAGTGGGTGGAGGTGTTGGGGAAGGTGGTGAGGGACCCTGTGAGTATGTTGGAAAAAGGGGAAGGACGCCAATGAATGATGTATTTGTGAAGGAGGAAATAGACTCGTAGGGAAACTCATTTTCGACAAATTTGACATGACGAGATATGTAGACTTTATGAGTTTGTGGGTCAAGACAGCGATAACCCTTGGAGGTAGGATGATAGCCCCAAAAAATACAAGGACGGGATCGGGGTTGTAATTTGTGAGTAATATGAGGGCGTAGCCAAGGGTAGGCAAGACACTCAAAGATGCGGAGGTTGGTATAATTGGGAAGTTCTTGGTAAAGGAGTTGATAGGGTGATTTGTTGGAGAGGGTGTGACTGGGCATTCTGTTAATGAGGTAGTTTGCGGTGGCTAGAGCTTCTACCCAAAAGGAGACAGGGAGATGAGATTGATGTAGAAGAGTAACCACCGTTTCAATAAGATGGCGATGCTTACGCTCATCCACCCCATTCTGTTCGGGAGTGTATGGACAGGAGGTTTGATGTATAATTCCCAGGGATTGCAGAAACTGGCCAAAGATGTTATTTACATATTCCTTTCCATTGTCACTTCGAAAAAGTTTAACATGAGAATTGAATTGTGTTTTGACCATTTTTTCAAAAGTGACAAGGGTGGTGTATGCCTGTGATTTGTGTTTTAGTGGGTACAACCAAGTGTATTTTGTAAAATCATCCACAAAACAAATATAATAGCAAAAACCAGCAAATGAAGGAACAGCAGTAGGACCCCATAGGTCAGAATGAATAAGTTGAAAAGGTGCAGTTGTACGCTTCTCAGATAAAGTAAAAGGTAATTTATGAGATTTAGCAATTGAACAGGAGTCACAAATGTTTACATGAATGGAAGAAAAACCTAATTGAGACATTAAAGAATTTATTATTTGAGTAGACGGGTGACCCAGATGACTGTGCCACAACAGACTGTGGCCATCAGCCGAAAGAGCCACCGGAGCCACAGGAACGCTTTCTGAAACTGGGTGGGCAGAAGAACTTGTGCCAGGAAGAACGTACAGACCATGCTTACAGGGTCCCTGAAAAATCACCCTCTTGGTAGTATTGTCTAGGATCTTAAAATCATTAGAGGTGAACAAGAGTGAGAAATTATTGTCTTTTGTGAATTGGTGAACTGAAAGGATATCGATTTTAATAGAAGGGACGTGGGTAAGGTTACCTAGGTGAAAGATAGCGGTGGGGGTTTTAATGGTACCCGTGCCAGTGTGAGAAATTTTAAGGGACTCACCGTTGCCAACAGTAATACCATTGGAGCCATGATATGGATTTGGAGTGTTAACCTTGGATAGATCAGATGTAACGTGCATGTTGGCCCCAGTATCCAACAGCCATTCAGAGGAAGGGCCGACTTGATGCATAATTGGCATGGTTATCACTATTTCAGCTCTCCTCATACCGAAACCAGCAACGAACAGTGGTGTATCCTGTTTTCTGACAGATTTGACAAGTTGGACGATTTCGCTCGTAAGTGCCCTGGCCGCCGCTGTCGAAGGAGTGCAGGTTGTTGTTGCTGCCGTGCTGCTGACCGTCGTACCGCGGACGACTGCCCTGCCGACCGCCACGCCCGCGGCCTCCGCTGTTTCTGCCGTAGTCGCTGCGCCTCCCCTGCCAGCCGCCACCACGCACCCCGCGATAGTTCTGGCTTGCGGTGAGGGCGGATGCCCGCTCCATAACAGCGGCTTCTCGGAGAAGAAGTTTGCTCTCCAGATCCACGTTGATTTCTTCACTTTTTAGCCACGAGGAAAGAGTAGCCAGGTCAACGGGCGTTGGAATGATGCGAACCGCCTGTATAATGGAGGAGTAAGCTGATGGGAGACCCCGAACGACGCACATGACGAGATCTTTTTCGGTAATGATTTCGTTCACGGTGTCGAGGGCTGTGATGATGGTGGAGACCTCATCTAAATACTCCGCCATAGTTTTTGTGCCTTTGGTAATTGTGTGGAGACGATCACGCAATTGAAAAATATGAGAGTGGGAAATTGATGCATAGCGTGTTGCGAGGGCCGTCCATAGGGCTGAAGCAGTTGTGTAGGATCGGACGTGTTTCTGAACCTTGGGAGAGATGACCGCAATCAAACATGATCGGATCTGGCCATCCACGTCTTTCCAGGAGGCATGGGCCGGATTGGTTTTTTCTGATTTGTCCGTGGCGGTGATGACTGCCGGCGGTGGTTCTGTGCTTCCATCGACGTATTTGAGAAGGTAATTGGCCTCAAGGGCTGTAAGAACGGTGATTTTCCATGTGGGGTAATTTATGTCTGATAATTTTTTGGGAATCGGGGCATGAAGATGCCTGAGAAGGAGTTTAACGCCAGAAGGAAGTGAATCAAGAGGATCCACCTCGGTTGTCATGGCTGCCGCTGCCCAAGAGAAGAGAGGGAACGATCGGTGCCCTAAATAGAGAAAAAAAACCTAGAGAAAAGAAGATCTAGGTTATCTGGCTCTTGATACCAT